CTGTTTCATTTTAATTAGTGTATTTTACTTGGTCAGTTTTCGAATGTGTCTTTATACAGGGTGATCCGTACTCAAATGGACATGGTGAAATGGTAGGTAGTATGCACTGCAAGCTTTTCATATCTGGAAATAAAAAAGTTTTGAATTCATAAAGCAATGTTACACATAGAAGTAGCGTGAAACTAGTTGGCCGGTTGAAACATCTAGTGTCGTGTCCGACATTTTCAGTTTTTTTTCTTTTTCATCAAAACCAAGCTGAATCTTGAAATTTTTCACTATGAACAAAAAGGCCACTAAGTTGTGCTGATTAATTAGCAAAATAGGTTGATAGCCTCTCTTAGTTTCTTAGTTAAACATCTTTATTTACTGAAATATCTTATTTTGAGCAGTTTATGTAATACAAAATTACAAATTTCAAGGGTTATCAACATGGTTTTACTAAAATTTTACAAAATAATGCTTATTATTCTACTAAACTCAAAATTCTAGGGTCGGGTTCAGTTTTTTATTGACTTGTATTTTAGTAAGTGCAACGCCCTGTAAGTAACACTCTGAATAAACGAGAAATAATAAAATTATGAGCCCTTTACGTGTTGCGCTCATTTTTTTAATAATCGAATTCTACCAACCGATGCTGTACAACGTGAGATCCTGTGCACTTAAGTACGAAACACCCAGTATGTGTCGCACTGTGGTTTCTATATGGAGGAATACAAATCTATTGAAGTTTAGTGTAATGTTGCATTGCCGCGATGATTAATTTAAAATTGTAAAAACGGCAGTAACTGGTAAAAGTATATTTCTGGATGACACTAGGGTCAGCCTTCGTTCATGATTGTTTGGAACATCCTAAATTCCTCAGGAAATCATCAAACTGGATCTAAGCAGAAGACGAAACGTCAGCGTGTGTCATGTTCATTATATTCAATAAAATTGCTCACTAGTCTGAACAAAAACCTCCGTAGTAATGTTTGCCTATACGGTACTATACATCCTCAGGCGTTGATAAGGTTTGGGTCATTCTTCAAAAAAGATGGTGCTGCTTTTCTTCACTTCACCTTAATCTCAAAAATCGGCTTGCCACTATGAGCGCACGCATGCAAAGTGTTATCATCTGTAAAATCATGGATCATATTTACTATATCACATTACCCAAATGTAGATCATAATCCACCATGGATCAAAAACAGATATTTGCGGAACCGTCAAGTGGAACTTGCAAGCATCATTTTTAAGGCAAGCTTTACAGTAAAAATAAATTATTGTTAGGTACATTGGTGAGAATTGTCTTTCGCAGAAAGATGCACTCATTATTGGAAAATTATTTATCTAATAGACATCAATCTGTTAAGATATCCAAATTTTCCAGTAGTAAAATGTGGCGTCCCACAGGGAGCGGCTTTAGGTCTACTGTTTTTCAATATACACTTAACGATATATTTCAAATTAATTGTCTGGGCAAAATAATAAGTTTTGCAGATGATACTTTATAAAGGTGATGATTGGGCCGATTAAAAAAACACAGTTGAAAATGACTTTGTCAAAATCATTCAGTGGCTTAATAACAGAAAATTGAGCACTAATTTCTCTAAAAGGCATTTTTATCATTTTTTTCCTATTCTGAACATCTACCAAATTTCAGAAACATCTTTTTCCATGAATAATCAGAAATTGGAAATTAATGCGGTACGCAGAGACAAGGTACCTTGGAATATTCCTGGATTCACACTTGCGTTGGATTGGTCATATTTCATATATTTTAAAAACAGTTAGATATGTTTTATATAGAATTAAATACCTCAAAGATATTCTAAAAGAGAAATACCTCTATACCTTATACCATACCTCAATTCATATTTATGATTTAAAAATCTTCAAAAAAAGAAATGTTTGAAAAACCAAAATCATACCCCACTGATGTCTTATATAAAGATATTACACGTACATGACATGAGACAACTTTATCTCTCACATGCTATCACCAATTATCACAAATTTACTAGTAACGTTAAAAAAAAACAACCAACATACTAGACTACGAGGAACGACTGTACTTAAACCTAACAAATCTGTGACTCAGCGATCACACCTTTATTTAGGAACAAAATTATATGCAAATTTACCTGACAATATAAAGAACCTAGGCTTTGGGAATACTTAAATAAAAGAATGTATATTTCCTTTAGCTAGGCCAAACATACACAAATTAATAGTAAATGTAAACATCAACTGCTTCATTGATTAGCAGTATCATTGTTTGTGTTTTAATTCCATGCAAAATTGCAACATTAATGGTCAATGTACAGGCAGTGCCTCCTATGGATCCGTCTTTCATATTTGTTTACTCATTTTCCATATTGTGTTTAAGGAGTAAATAAAAATTATTATTATTTATTAGCAGTTGCCTGCAAATGCTATCTTCTTTCTTTTATATCTTCTTTTTCGCCTTACATAACATTTCATGGCTACTAAATGAACTAATACTATGCCACAGTGCCAATAATGATATGTAGTGATCTAAAGCTGCTCTAGGTTTTGTCATTTTTGTTACCGACTAAGCAACGCTCGAGTTAACACCTGCGATAAATAAATAATCTGTTGCTAAATATAAGGATTAGGATTCATAATTCCTATGAAAAACTTCATTAAATCGATATACCAACAACGTTCACTTTTTGTTTCAATGGTCAACATTCCATCTCAACCGAAATAGGTGCTAAAGCCCAGGCATCTTTATACCCTCAGGTAAGCATCTCACCTACAAAGGTATATCAATCTATTGTTCGATAAGGCAGAGAGCAGTACCGTCGATAATGACAGGAGTGACCCTAACGGTACGAGCCGAAGAAAGGGTTATTGCCATAGGGCAAATGGGTCGACACGCGACTCGTATTAGGTAACATTAGAGGCGTAACCAACATAAGATTTGATACTAAATGGGACCTCTGGTCACAAAAGAAAAAGATTAGGCTTTTAGGCGCGTGGCATAGGGTTGTTATTGCGTCTAGCGTAATGCATCAATTAACCATGGGTTACTTGTTTCGAGGATTCGATTTTTTGAACCGATTTTGTATTTATTGTCTTTTCACCTTCATCACCATTAGAGTGAATAATTAATTTGTATGAACTGAAGAAGACTGTCAGGATGTTTTCAATGCCATTGTGACACTGAAAAATAAAACAAATAGCAAAACCACTTGCTTATGTTATAAACTAATCCTTTCAATCTGGAGTATTTCCATCAGCTTTTAAGACATTAGTCATGAATGATAATACTGATGTCACTAATAATCGACTATTTCACTATATATAAGTTTAACTGAAGTTTTTGAGAAATTATTTCTTAGTAAAATGATTAAAATTCTTGACAAATTAAGAATTTTTAGAACAAATCCATATGATATTTATAACAGGTAATCCACAACAGATGGGATATTAAGTATAGTAGGTGAAATTAGTCAAAACATGGATGATAATGTACCATCGATATGCGTATTTGCCGATTTACAAAAAGCGTTTGACAGTTAAACACAATATACTTCTGTAAATTTTAAAAAGGAATAGGTTTTTGCGGAAAAATGTATAATGAAAAATTATAAAATAGGCGGCAATCAGTAAAAATATTAAATTCATATACGAGTAGTAAAGAAATGTCTGTTGAGTGTCGTGTACCACAACCTACAATTTTGGGTCCTCTGTTAATCAGTATTTATTTGAATGATAGATTCAAAATTAATAGTACTGGTAAAATAGTCAACTCTGCGGACGACATCGCCATACTGTATAAAGGCAAGAATTGGAATGACTTGAAATACATTATCCAAAATAACTTTTGTGAAATTATCCAGTGGTTTATTAACCGAAAATTAGCAACTAATTTTGCTAAAACTCATTTCTCACTATTTTCATCAATCTCCAATCGTCCACCTAGCTATAACCTCTTCCTCTGTATGGTAAGTGATGGAAATCTAAAAACCAATAGTTAATTATACCAAAAATGATACAAAATATTTAAGAATTTATCTAGATCCCCACATAGCATCTAAAATAAAATTTCTAACTGGTATACGTGTATTAACTCTAACTGGTATACGTGTATTAACTGAACACTATCTATGTATAATATACAAAGCTTTTGTTGAGCCACACATAACATGTATAGTGCTATGGGGTGATGCTGCACGCAAAACTTACATTAATGATTTAGACGTGTTATATTATATTATTATAAAATTATATTCAACTGATGACTTGTATAATGATGCACAAGTATATGATTCCAAACAACTTTATTTCTTACATACCATCACTCATTGTAACAGAATTATTAGTGACCCCCCACCCGATTGAACATAGAGACAATTTAGCGCAAAAATGTTCCTAAAGCAAACAGACCTGTAATGAAACGATCTCACCTGTATTTATGTAGCTCCAAAATTGTATAAACATTTACCAAATAATTTAAAACAATTGCGCAATACATTAAAGTTCAAAAAACTAAAAAAATGGATTAACACGCTTGGGACAAAAAAAATCATGGAGTAATCTCAAATGACGCACAGTAAATACTACCATTCTTACAGATAGTATGAATAGCTTTTTTCTCTCTGTTCTTCCTTTTTTATCTATTGCAATTCAACATACAATTGATGCATCCACTGGCATGGATAAATTGTATTTATATACTCATTTCATGCAACCTGTATTCATAGGGTAAATAAATATTACTATATCATCCACTGTGACCTTAATGAACACACCTCTTCTTTCAAGTCGATGCATCCCTTACTGAGAAGCCTGGTTCAGTTAGATACTATATGTAACAATTATCATCGCGAAAGGTGTGATTATACCTGACTAGACTCTTCAATTATGTCTTTCCAAAATATATAAGATTATGTAAAAGATGTCGATTGCTTGATCATTTTCTGCTTGTTTTTGTCCAATCTGAATGATGCGGTAGGTTCATTGGTTTTTCTTATTATTTCTATATTGTAAGCCTCTTCTTAATCTATTTTTTTTATACTCCAACTACCACGAAGGCCTAAGGCCTAAAAAATACCCATGGGTACCGAGAGACTATAGGGGGACACAGGGGAAAGGGGCAACGCCACACGGACCCTGGCGAGGGAACACCTGTGCATGCAACATGCACACATTCTGGCCCCACCTACGAGATCCGCCGGGTGGTACCTCCGCGTTCGACAGTCAAATACCGTCTACCACCTACGGACAATCACAACATCCATAGCCAAGAGAAAACATTCTTTTGGGACGGGATTCGAACCCGCACAGCGCACGGCGACTGATCAGGAGGCCGAAGAGTCTACTACTGCGGTCACCGCTGCTGCCTGCTAAAATAAAGAATCTACCAGAGATCCTTGGACCTTTTTCTTATTTCAGTTCGTGACCACATAGTATATTGCATCGGTTACGATCGCAATAACTTCTCCCATAGCCCTTTGTTTGGGTTTCAATAGATTTTACATGGTATCAGCAATATAACGTGTCAAAGCAACAGTAAATAATTTTTTTTTGTAATCGAGTAATAAACCATTCTCGACCCACCTCTAAAGATATAATCGCTTGTTTCTTGAATTAACTACATAATGGTTGGGCATGTGTATATAAAACAGTTGCACAAGTTGTTTTTCAATAAACGGGTACTAATGACCTATACAGGGCGTCCCCTTCAAGCTTTTGTAGTAGTGTAGAACACAAAAACATATGTACCTAATGCCTATAAAAAGGCATGGAAATCAAACAACTTTTGAACGACACTGTAGAAATTCAACACAATTTAATAGTTTTAGTGACTAGTTGGGGTCCCACATGAGAAAAGCAGTACAGTTCTGGTACTTGATCCAGTATAGTGGTTATTCCATTTTGAAATCACTTTTGATCGTATTGAGCGACGCAAAAAACGTCAGGAATATAAATTTCGTGAATCAGTTAATGAAATGTCAGATTTAATTTAGCCTTTTTGTGAGTAAATATAGTTCAAATCGATAGGAATAGTATTAAAACAGGACCGTTTTCCTTAAAACGAGCTAAATAATCGATATTAGATATACACTTTGTTCAGCTGATGCGTTCCAAGAATATTAATTTTTTTTTTCTAAGGAACAAAGCAGCTCCGCTTTTGGCGCTGCCCATGACAGGCTTTCTCTAAGCATTTTGCTGCGTAAATCTTCACTTTATTGATTGGTTTTGACTTGTCGGCATGTTTATTATAAATTGAATCCCTCTATATTTTTCATTAATATATCAGTTAAAAATTGTCTTAATATTTATAAAAGTGTCGTTAGTCGCAAGCACGAAAATATTTTGCTTTGGTAAGTTGATACGATACTAAAATATCAAAAATTATTGTCTCTTGGCGCAGATATAAATTTTTATCATAATGACATAGTTAAAACCAAGCATAAGCCGAATTTGAACTTACGTGGCTTTAACTAATTATTCTCAACATAATGCGTTGCTTTCTCAGCGCGTATGTCACATAACTAATAGCTATGGCCTAGTCTTGCATATTTTTTTCTTAAAAATGATTGCTATGATACTATGATAGGGCAGTATTGCCATAGAATTAATCCTTCCTGAGGTTTTGAATATGTTAGTTGCTTCTAATGGATACCATCAACTAAGGCTTCAAGTGGTTACTAAGCTGTTAAATTCCATTGAATTGTAGATACTTAAAAGTAACGTCACTAATTTCTGGTAGATCCTTTGGGGGCTTGTATCTTCAGTCCGTAGGACATTGTTTTATAGGAACGTGTGACATTTTTTTGTGTTCTACACTAGAGGCACGTTATCCTGGCACACCCTGTATGTTCCACCTGAAGAATCGTCAATTTAAAGATCCACGTTAACTGGCATGTCAAACATTTTGCCTAATTTTCATTTGATTATATTATTATTCGACTTGGTTCGCCACCTTTAAGAGAAATAGCAAAAATTCATTGACAAATGAAAGCAATAAGAACATTTTCATTGTTCCATAAATATAAAAGATTTTCTAGTATATGTGCCATTCTGTAGATATTTTAGTATGCCCTGTACCTTTTTTTAACATACTGTGCACTATAGTATCTGTCATCTTCAAGAAAAGACTATAGATTTCTCTTCAAAGAACGACATCTCTTGCATCAAATATATTTGAACTGAAGCACTATTGAGCGTAATTCATTTGAACCTTACACCATAAGAATACCCATTTTTTACTTGCACAAGGCTTAATTAAAGGTTTCATTGTATTTATTAGTTATTAAGATTGGAATAAATTCTGCATTTTGCTCTTTTTAATTCCATGTCAGACTCTCTCGGCTAATCATCATACGTCATAATTAGCTAAGAACTGTTAATTGGTACTGCATACCAAAGACTGACCTGTATAAATATAATTCTTATAGCATAATAAATATGCGTGTGAGCCCGGTATCATATACCTACTTCACCTCTATACATTGTGCAGAATACGCTCACATATCGGCTAAGTGGTCTTTTAATAACGCAACATAGCCGATAAACAGCCAGTAAGGATATGCATCTTTCCTCGCGCCAACTACGAACAGCATATATTACAGCTTAGGCCTGTTTCACACCTACGATGCAATTCGGTACCATACGTATCTTGAAAAGTGACATTATGTCGATTTATGTTGACATTATATTGGTTTTTTCTGACATTATGGAGGTTTTTCCACAAGATGTTAACTTAGCACTAGCTAATGGATCCGTTGTGAACTCGTTTTGTAGTTGTACGTGTTGCCTAAACCTTATGAGGCTTCAGTTGTCAATGTTTGGCTCTGATGTGACGTAAAATCTGCTTCAGAGATGGCATTAATGGAGGTTACGGCAATGCATAGATGGATATTGAGGATTTTTGTGCTAATAATATGTGTTGATGATAATTCCATTGGATTCTTGTCGCAAATACACTTACTTGAGATTCAAAGCTAGAAATTAGTTGCGCATCCACCATTTCTTATCCATTCTGGAAATTACATATGCCAATTTGCTGAATTTCAAAAATGAGAGAGGTAAGAAATAATTATATTCACTGTACACTGTCGAATTACAAGTCGTATACATGCTAGAAGTAATTACACACAACGCGGGGGCGGTGGCGATTTCCTGGAATTCTCCTCAAAGTTTTTGAAAACACAAAAAAAACCGCAAAAAATCATAATTTATAATAACCCGTATAACCCGTCGGGCACAGCTAATAGATATACTTCATTGGCAGCATATTCAGTAATGATTTTCTCACAATATTACTGACTTTATACACATACAGACCAATACACACAATCATCCAGATGCGATCTTGCTATTCAACCAACTTTCTTCTCAGAGATGAAAACTATAGACTACTCGGCTTCACAAAACATTTGCAACCTACAATACGTGTCGCTGAGCTATTCCTTCATAGATAGACGCTCACAACGATCCTAGCGAGCAAACGCGGACTGACTGTTTGCATCCTAAAAACTACCTAGTCTGCAAGATGACATTTTATAGGTTTTTTTTGACGTTTACTAGGTTTTTTTACATAATACCCGCGCGGTTCCACTTGTAGACTTGTAGACAGCCACCAAACGTTTTCTTAAAGATTCATGACTTGCCCAATACATCGGGTAGCCCATTCGCCGCGAGCGTCACCTATAGAGAAATCGCACAACAGCTGTTTTTTGTCATTTTGCCTAAGCAAACTACCGTAAAATGACGATTATAGGGTGTAAGATCGAATTTTGTTTTTGGAACGGTTACCTTCTCTGGAATAGTGACGCAGTGACGACAAAGGAACAAAAAGCACTGGCATTGTGGTAATGCAGACCCTAAAGTAGGCAACAGTGCAGGACTCGTTTATGCCAATGGGGTTGCTTGAAATGGTTCCAAAGATTTACAGAAGTCTTATCTACGGAGGATTGTATATTCGCTTTTCTTTTCATGTAAAAGCACCAAAATTCAGGCCGTGGCTAAAGATATTGGACTGTCAAAAACGGCCTTTCATGGATTTGATAATCTGATGGCCAATGGTCAACTACTGGCAATAGCCGTCAATGGCCTCATTTTCTACTTTTTTGTCCATATGGAAACTACTAATTTGGCAGTCGTGCTACATTGGACGCTCTAAGCTGAACGATCTGCTGAAAACGAAATTTTACTGCTGGAAATGAAAAAATATTAATAGTACAGAAGCATATACAGAGAAATCCAAATATCACTGACTAGATAATGTGTATGAGAGAGAAGAGCGAGAAGCATGGCAATACATTATAGATCCTAAAGAGGTGCATCAACACTTCTCCTGAGGCTTTAATATTATCGGGAGTGCCTCAAGGATCGCTTCATGGACCACTTCTTTTCATTTTATATATGTGTATCTCCGATCTGGATAAGGTTGTTAAACACTGCAATATTCAGTTTTTTTTTGCGGATGACTGGCAGTTATACAAACATTTTAATACGGACAATATAATAATTTCTGAACATTAGATTAATGAAGATTTGAAATCTGTCGACAAGTATGCAAAAATTCAAAAACTTAGATTAAACCCAGAAAAATCAAAAGTATAATATATTCTCTTCTAAAAGATTTAGAAAGCAAATTAAGAAATATTCGACTACATATATCATTAAATGGTGAAATTATAAAAGTATGTGAAACTAAAAAATTTATTAATGTCTGAATGTTATTCCTCATGTGAACATTGTTACAAAAAGTTGTTATTTAGTGCTTAGGCAATTATACTTCAACAAACAAATTCTCGATTACAAAGCTAAAAAAATATCTGCGAGTCATTAGTTATTTCAAAAATTACATACTGCGACATTGTTTGTCATCCGTTTTTAGATTCAGTATCTGTAAAGCGCCTGCAAAAAATTCGTGTTACAGATTCATCTGTAACTTAAAAAATATGACCGACTTACCTCTTCGTCCATAAAATTGGAATGGTTATTTATTCCTTAACTATTTAAATTCAATTTACTATGTTATATTCATGAGCTTTTACTTACCTCAAATCCCCCATTTTTGAAAGATAAG